TTTTTGAAGTCATTGGCTCCATCCATTCCGCAACAGGTCTCTTTGTTTGCCTAAAGAAAGGCAAAAACACCAACTGCTTTCACATTTGCGCATGCTCTCACAATTTTTAATGAGCATCATTGACAGCGATGGCTGGAAGCACTTTTTGGAAGTGGTCAACAATGAGTAGCAGATGCCCATGTCAAATTACTGAGAAGTAGCATGTGGTACGTGCCTTAACATCCTCGGTACCTAAAGTCAACCATAATTTGAGGCACCGAATGCCTGCATTCATCCACTATGAGCAATTCGGAAGAGTTTGAAGCAATAAATACTCCACTGTTTGAAGAATGGACTAGTAAGAAACGACCTCTATCAAGCCAGCGTGGTTTGAAATTTACTCTATTGTGAAACTGTACAACTTCGAGTCGGAGTAGTACACGGTCCCCTCTATGCGTCTCGTTTATATGTACAAGTAGTAACCTACAGTCATAATAAGATCCCACAGTCTGGCAGGCCCTTTGCCCTCAGGAGTGCTCGGATCGTAGTAGGCAAGCGTTTTCTCCATGCCCTGAAATGCTAAGCTGCGGTACTGAAACAAAGACAACTTCGTTGAGCAAGAAGGCCCAGACACTTGGCAGGATGTGAGTGCGATGCTGATTTACAGAGGTAGCCAACTCGTTTGTTCCACGGTGTGCGAGTGTGTTAAGCAACAGTTCAGTGAAGTGGAATTCTGAAGAGGCACAAGCCTCCTTTCATTTGGAGAGCCTGTTGTAATGTGAAATCATGTGACAAAAAAGCTTCTCATTTTCAAGCTTGAGTGAAAGATGCAGATGAAAGTTGATTAAATTGCACTGACAGGGTACGTGGGAATCAAGACTAATGTCATGATTTGTTGCGTCAGTGATTGCAGACATTTGCAACAGATACATTTAATTGTGTGACCGGCATTTAAAAAGAATGTAGCAAATATGTAAGTGCCTTACTGGAGGCAAAATGTTTTCCTTCCCTACAATTTTGCAAGGGAATTTACTGCGGTGATTTAATGGTCATTTTTAATTGTCACTACTAAAATACTTTTGAAATTTAAGTTGATTTAGTGCCAACTTCAAAAAAGGTAATATTTTCACTTACTATGTCCGGGACCCCAAAGATGACTCCAACGGCGATAACTTGGATCACAACAATGGATGTTAAAATCACCGCATACTAGAGTAAATATGAATGAATTGTAAATGTGACGCTTTGTTAGAGCAAGTGGATTAAAATTTGTTGTACAACTAACGATTTGTAGGAGTTTATTGCATGAACAGCAGGTCGCTATGAACCCGAGAATGCAGACACCGGTGATGGCAAATCCCACCACGATGAATATCGCCGGTATTTCAACTGGAAGGAAAGTCACAACAAAGCAAAAATGCCCAACTTTTAAGGCGTATGCTTCGTTTCCCTTTTATGAGAATGGTCCCTTAGTTTAGGGTTTGCTATTCTTGGCAAAATGAGAACATATTTGCAGAAAGAATTGCTTCTAAGTGGTGACTTTTCTTCTAAGTTGGAAAATCTATCCCGTTGAGGCATTTTTTTCAAAGTTTGATCTATCAAGTAAGTTATGTAGGTAATGTGAATGCATAGGTGTAATATAAAGTGTGCATGAAAACCTTGCAAAGTTGTCTTCAAATCTGAATGAGAAATGAGGCTGTTATTGCGGCTTTATCAAAAGGTTGTTTTATTGAGTCCCTAAATGGCCTGGACCTAGGGCTTAACCTTACACCACCTAAACTTGAATGAAGCAAAGGACTGAAATGGAGAAAGTACCTCTTTACTGATAATGGAGCAAAATAATGTTCATTTTGGCTAGGTATTGAGGAATTATAACTTTACAACAGTTTACAGGGGGATTTTAAAAGGAACGACGTATAAAAATGTGGCAATCCTACCAATAACAAGGTATGCATGTAATGTTATGATAGTTCCTTTAACTCTATTTTGATTCGGTGGACACCTAAGTGTTCGCAGCTTGTGGCATGGCCTTCGGGCCATGCCAGTAACCACGCCTCTTTGTTATGGCAGTAATACATTCTCTGTTGTGCTGCTATACCTTCTGAAGATTACATGGAAGCGGTCTTTAAACCAAAGTAAATTTTTATGTGCTAACATCCACTCAAGATGCGAGAAGATTAGCAGAGACTCCCAAACCAATGCCCTTTTAAAACCATTTCATCAGTGAAAACAACCGAAACAAAGTGTCAATAAGCATAATAGCTTGGCTCATCAAATTACCATCGTATTTTAGCAAGAATTGAGCTATTTCATCCGCCTGTTCTTGTGAAGCCTCATTGAGGAACTTTTCGGAGAGACTGTTAGTGAATTTAAGCAAGAATTCCTTGTTGGTTCGTAGCAGCACGCCAACTACTCCAAGCACCAAAAATGTAACCTACACAGGGTAAAACGATCACTCATTTATTCTCCAAATTCAGCTGAGATGCAAGTGGTTTGTCTGTTTGTATCTAGCAAAAATGAAGACTCACTCCCAAAATCAGATTGAGCAGACCGATGATGAATCGCGTCAACGTCGAGCAGGAACTGCGCATTATATCTATAAGGAAAGACGGAGTAGAGCTGTATGCATCTGGTGAGGAATGTCCATTCTAATTGGCATGTAAGCACATGTTTAAGTGCCATTCTAGGGTTCGCAGTGCAGTGCGGATTAGGTTTAAGTTAGTAGAAGTGGTGTAGGCAAGATGACTGCTCTCCAAGTCCCCGATATCATGTGAATTTAAACCAGCGGAGCGTGTGGTCTACTCAACTGTTAAGGTGGCATCTGAGTGAGCGACTTCTTCAAGCCTAGAGAGGTCATCCTGTCCTCCAGCCCACCTTAGCGTGGGTGGGCTTTTCAGGTTACCGTCTTTTAAGCACCAAATTTATCATTTTGTTACCTTACAATGTTTTCTCTCTCTT